GGTACTTTGTTACAGCAGGCAGAGGAAACTCACACACCCTGCTTGATTTTTCTTCACGTCTCCATCTGACACGTACATATGTACGGTCCACCCTCGTTATTTGCAGATGCCCGATTTGTGAATTCGCCTGCTTGTTGTTTTTTTTTTTTAATTTTTTTAAATTTAATTATTTATTTTTTCCCCCGAAAGCACCAGTGGATAGTTGTATGTCATAGTTGCACATCCTTCTAGTTGCTGTATGTGGGACGTGGCCTCAGCATGGCCGGAGAGGCGGCGCGTCGGTGCGCGCCCGGGATCCGAACCCGGGCTGCCAGCAGCAGAGCACGCGCACTTAACCGCTAAGCCACGGGGCCGGCCTCCCCTATTTGTGAAAACGCATTTGTAACGCTAAAACTGGCACTTTCATGGACATGCGCAGAGTGGCAAAAAATTGGAGTCACCCAAGACACAAGTTTCCAACTGAGGTCGAACCGGGTGACGCTCCGCCCTCCCGTTTCAGCTCTCATTTCGTAGGCGAGGGTCCTGTTCGAGGTCTATTTAGGGCCAGGTTTTTCACATTTTTGTGCTTTTTTTGGTGATTTCACTGTTTAAAGTGGCCCCCAGGCGTAGTGCTTAATGGTGTCTCGTGTTCCTAAGTGTGAGAAGGCTGTGATGCGCTTGACCAAGAAAATACGTGCCTTAGATAAGCTTCCTTCAGGCAAGAGTTATAGCGGTTGGATGTGAATTCAATGTGAATGAATCAACACTATATTTAAATAAGGCGTCTTCAAACAGAAACACACATAAAACAAGGTGATGTACTGATGGGTTGACAAAAATGTTGTGACCAGGGGCTCATAGGAAGCTAACCTTGTATTTCCCCAGGGGAGGTGGTTCAGTATTCGCTAACTCCGCATTCGCGGAGACCACAGAACTTGACCAGGAACGATAAGAATCGCCCACCTTGGGTTGAGCTGTCCACTATCTGCCTCCTCCACTAACAAGTCAGCTCCCCCCACCCCCCAGGACAGGGACTTCCGTCTGCCTTGTCCAGCGGCACCCCTGTGCCTAGAACAGGTTTGGCACCCAGTCAGTGCTCAACAAATATATGTGGAATAAGCCCTCACAAGCCCCCTCCCCACCCGAGACTCCAAACAAGTCCCCAAAGACGCAAAAGCAATGGGGGCCAGGGGGCGTCAGTACAGTTTTAAAAAAAGGATCGGTTTTTAATTTACAAGAGTTCTAAATGTACAGAATTCTTTTAAAAAAATCGTTATACACAATAAATACAGTACAAAAAAATTTATCTTACAGTACTAGTTTTGTCTCCGAGATTTCAAAATCTGGCGCGGGTGGCTGGCGGCAGGAAGAACAGAGGGAAGACTGGTTGGGGAGGGGGGTGGGGGGAGGAAGACCCCGGTTTCCTGTTGGGGAGGTGCTCGCATTTCAGTGGAGGGACTGGAGGGTTCAAAATCTCTCTCTCTAGCTCACTCGAGCTCACACACAGGGACACAGGACACGGAGCTGGACGCACACACGTGGATGTGACAGGTGCCCTCGGGCCCGCTCCCGCCGCCCCCTCCCTGCGTTTCGGTCTGCAGCCTGTAGGGGGCGGTGGGGAGGCCGAGCGCGGCCCCCCAGGACCCTCCCAGCCCCGAGCGCCCCTGGCGCCCGGATCCGTGAAGCCGCACAGACAAGCCGGGGACCCCGACACGCGGGAGCGGTGGGAGCGGCCAGGTGCCCCCATCCCTGGCCAACACGCACGTGTCTCCCCGTGGAGCGGCGGGAAGGGGGGAGAAACGGGAAATGACACACCGGGGTGACCCCTCCTTTGGCAGGGGGACATTTTACATTACACCCGCTCCCCTAAACCCACGACCCCCACCCAACAAACTGGGCTGAAGCAGGAGGTGGGCCAGGAGGCTTTTGTGACTCAAATAACTTAGGCAAGAAAAACTCAGGGGATCCCCGGCTTGTGTCCCCGGGAGGCTGAGGTCGCACGCCCAGCTGTCCCCGGCGTCCCCGGCGCGAGGGGACGGGGAGGGAGGCCCGGCCCGGTGTTATCTGTTCAACGTCCTGGCGCCGAGGCCGCCGTTGTGACTGGAGGGCGGGTAGGCCTCCGGCCTGCGCAGGGGGGATGGGGGGGCGGGCGCGCCGGGCGCGTACGGGGGCGCGGGGGTCCGGCCGGGGGCCTGCTGCAGGTTCAGGATGCTGTCGATGGCGCTCTGGAGGTGCTCCGTGAGCGCGTCGTCCTGCGGGCTGTCGCTGGAGAAGCTGGCCTGGTCCACGTCGGGGGACTCGGACTTGCGCCGCTTGGCGGGGGGCAGCGGGGGCGCCTCCCAGCCGGGCTCGCGGCTGCCGCTGCCCTGCCC